TTGGGGTTCAGGGTTTAGGCCTGGCCACTCAGGCCCCCAAAATAGGGGCCTTAGTACAAACCTATATTATTTTTGGGGTTCCTTTTGATATTTGTAGTAGTATAATCTGCCTCAAAACACTAATCTAATTATTACGGCCCCTACATTATTTTATCCGGCCTCGCAGCTTCCACCCGCGCACGACAGCCAAGACACCGTGAAGGATCCTCAAGCCTGATGCGTAAATCGATGCGCTTATTAGTGTAATGGTCGCCGTCGTAGTAGTAGTAGTAGTAGTAGTAGTAGTAGTAGTAGTAGTAGTCGTATAGAACGTGTTTTGGGGGTTCTAGGGCGTTCTATCTTTTCGACCACAAGACCCCATGAAAAAAAACTACAAAGTTCTGGAGAAGCCCAACAACAACTCTATGAAGCCCTATTTAAAAGTATCCGAAACAAGGAGTTTGGCACGGACCAGTGGGTCACGGAATGCGAGGATGGCTCGCCGCCTGTCTGGGCAAACTACGTTGGAGGTTTGGGGTTGGGATTTAGGGTTTAGGGCTTTGGGTTTAGGGTTTTGGTACCCTAAACCCTAAACCCTTAAACCCTAAACCTTTTTTGAGCCAGAGTCTAATAGCTTCTCTTGCTTAAGCTGTGCCCCGTGCAGACCCGGGGTCGAGGTTTGAGCAACGGATGCGAGCAGTGAAAGATCCAGTACACCTCAAGGAAGCCTTAAACCCGAATACGGGCTTTAAGGTTTAGGGTTTAGGGTTTAGGGTTTTAGGGTTTAGGGTTCAGGGTTTAGGGTTTTAGGGTTTAGGGCTCAGGGCTTTACTTAAAGGATCATGGGACTTAGTAGCTGAGGTTATAAACAAGGTAACTATACTTATAACCCCAATTAGGGTACTTATAACCCTACTTACTAAGTCCCAAGATCCTCCAAGTAAACCATAAACCCTTCACTCTTCCCATGAGGCCCAACGACCCCAGACATGCCATCGAATAAGGCGTTTTGGCTATCGGGCAATTCGAGCCTTTGGGGTGGCTTCGAGGTGTTCGCTGACTGGGGGCTGGTTCCTACAAGCTGAGGGCTGAGGCGGGTGCTAGAGGACGGTTTAGGGTTCAGGGTTTAGGGGTTTAGGGTTTAGGGTTTAGGGTTAGGCTTGGTTTATATAGGGTCCGGGGTTTGGGCCTCGGGTTTTAGGGATTCTCAACTAGTTACAGGGTAGCTGTATTTATGAGTACAGATGACCGCCAAGCAGGATGCTGCAAGTAGGTATAACTTTCCTCCAAAAATTCCAAGTACCTAATAATTATATACTCTCCCAAATAATATCCTACAGAACTACTATCCGAAACCTTAGTAACCCTAAACCCTAAACGCTAAACCCTAAGCCCTAAACCCTAAACCCTAAATAGTCCTTTGGGCCCTTAGGGTTCCTGTGTCCAAGATACGCTGTCAGTCTTCAGGCGGGAGTACTAACACATCGCTGCGCGTAAGCCCAAGACCCAGGTCGTTTCGATGGAACCATTTGTCTGATTTAGGGTTCAGGGTTTAGGGTTTAGGGTTTAGGGTTTAGGGTTTAGGAAGGAATGTGGAGGAGTTTAAAGGGTTTCTGGCTTTTACCTTCAGGCCTCCAGGTGTAGATTGATTCAGATTGATTCCGAGTTTAGCTCTTTCTTTCCCGATCGTTTTTGAGTAGGGTTCTGGATGTAGGGCTTAGGGCTTATGTAGAGTTCGTGTTTAGGCTGCAAGTGGACCTTACTGTAAACCCGAAACCCTGATGCTTCCATGCTCATGTGCTACTGTCTTACTGTAAACCCTAAACCCTAAACCCTAAACCCTAAACCCTTGTTTCGTCTCCGCGCGGCCTTGGTTCTGGATCCTCAACCCTCCGACCTTCCAATATCTCTTAGCTGAGGAATACCTGAGCCCTACAAAACCTCTTTTTTTTAGGGTTCCTTATTTTGGCTGTTTTATATAAGCCCTTAAGAAGGTAGGTATTTGGGGTTCAGGTATACCTTAAGTTCCAAAGCCGAAAACTTAAGGAGCACGTTTGACTTCTATGTGAACAAGTACTACGGGCTTGGCGAGAGGAACACATCAGGGACAAATCGCAGCAACGCGACCAACGCTACTGCCAAGAAGATCCTCGTCCGGCTCGGGGTTCAAGTTTTAAGGCTTGGGGTTCAAGGCTTCAGGGTTTAGGGTTTAGTGCTGAGGGTTTTTAAGTTCAGGGTTCAAGGCTTCGGGCGGGTGCCCAAATCCCAGATGGTGCCCTTGTTTTTTAGGGCTCAGGGTTTGGGTTTAGGTTTTACGGTTTAGGGGTTTAGGGTGTAGGGCACAGGGTTAGGGCTGGGGGAAGGATGGACCGATATCAGCAATCTCGAAGACTCAGTCTTCGAAAAGTGGAGTCTCCAAGATCCATTCAGGCCTCAGCAGTACCAAACAGGAAGTCACCTTGGACTATAATGTGGATAATGTGGTGGAACTTGTACCCAGTGTACGCAAAAGCAGGGGTTCACCAGGGGTTGGGGATTTTGGGTTTAGAGGTTTCGGGGTTTAGGCCGAGATCTGAACCCAGGTACCATCTTGTCCACGGTGCTGCAGTTTGATGATTCGGCAGTTCTCTTAAGTAGGATCCTTGTAGTAAGAGTGCCGTACTACTTGGGAACCTAAAGGGGGCCCTAATTTAGAGAGCTACCCGCATAGGGTTCATGTGATATAGTACCCTGTTGCACATGCCCGGGCTCCTGACTGGGAAGTACCTTAAGGCGGGGTTTTGGGGTTTTGGTTTTAGGGTTTAGGGTATAGGAGTGCAAGTACCTAATAATCGCATACTCCCCCACATAGGCACCTACATAACTGCTATCCGAAACCTAAGTACGTAATCATTCCCGAAAACCTGAAACCTAAACCCCTAAACTCTAGACCCTACACAACCTAAACAAGTTGTTGGGTCCTTTGGACCCTTCGGGTGAATTTCAGCAAGACTTCTCACGAGTGCATCGATTGGTTAGAGTTCCATTTCGGCTTCTATAGTACGGACATCTCCGGTGCCCGGAACCATAATAGACTGCCCAAGTAGTTTGACCAGAAGCATCGTGGCAGGTCGCCCCGTCCCATGTACAAGAGCGTTTTGTTAGCTCTGTTCACAAACCAATATCATAATATTTGCACGAGCCAGGTCATGCGACCCCAACCCTACAAGGTTTAGGGGTATGGGATTTAGGATAAACTGATTTGTACGTAAAGTCTCTTCCATGTCGTCCATGCCGCTCAGGGATGCAAACTACTGGACCAACTTGACCAGCTATGAGGTCTTGAGCTGCTCGGAATACGTTTAGGGTCTATCATTTTGGGTTTGGGGGTTAAGGTTCCGGAATGCGCGCGGCGCTTGCAGAACCTCGAACACAGACCCCATGTTGAACCCCAGCAGTTTTCGTTTGTTTAGCCTATATGTAGCCCTTGGAGTCGAACAAGAGACGGGAGCCCAGCAAAAGTTTCGAAACAGATGCAACTTCCAAAATTTGCGGTAGTTGCTACATATTCCGATGAGTTTGGTTTTATCTAAAAACCCAAACAGTACCCATCAAGCCTCCCGCTGCCTGCTGTTTCCAGCCAGAAACTTTTCGCGAACAGTACGCGCATGCACTGGAAACCGGAGAGCGTCGACAAAGACTGGAAAACTAGATCTCCAGCCTGGGATGGGCATTTCACCGCGAGCCTTGCCGTAACTCCAAGAGAGGACCAATGGAGGAGAAGCGCTACATCAAAGGAAGTCGCAAGGATCAAGACGACAATAACTACTATGCAGTCGTCAACTTTGGCGACAAGCGCTACGAGTGGAAATGGAACACAGTCAACCAGTACTGGTAGTTTTCACGCAAGTGAAGGAAAGAAAGGATGGAAGCGCCAGCACAAGGACGCAGGAGGAAAGACACTTTGTGAGGAGCAAGAGAAGAAGCTAGTTGTGTATATAACTTAGGCCTGAAAGTAGTCCCTATATAGGTACTTTGGGGCACAGTGTCCTCATTTAGATCACCTTGACCATGTGTGTTTCTGCCTCAAGAAGGGGTGGTGCCCAAGCCCTTGATAAAATTCTCTTCCTGGCTGTTGCTGAAGACCAAGCCCTATACCTTAATGCTCTACATAAACCCAAACCCTTAGCCCTAAGGTCAATCTTTAATCTTTAAGGCTTGAAGGTTTAGGGTTTAGCATTTGTTGCAGTCAAGCAGGTCAGGCGCTATCATGATCAAACCCTGTGTTAAGCAGCTTTTCCTGAGGTCTGGCATACCACATTATAACACTTGTGTTCTGGACTTGTTCCTCAAACGAAGCATTACATGTTTTTTTTTTTTAAGAAAAACCCCTGGTTACTTCGAACTCTCTACACATAGGCCCCATAGTAGTTCCTTTTTGGGATTACCTTACAGGATTCTATATATGAACCCCAAAAAGGAACTACTTTAGGGCCTGGGGGTATATCTGGCAACTTACAGTGCTAACACCCGAAACCCCAATCCTTGAACACCCTACAGAAAATGCTGGAAGTCATAAGCCCCGACCCGTTACGCCTCCAGTCTGACCCTATTCACCCAAAGGGTCCTAGATACTGTTACGGGGGATACTTTCCCAAATCATACTAACAATTCCTAATATAGAAACCCTACATTCTACTATATTGGTCCTTTGGACCCTTTGGGTCAGTATACCTGGCAGCGCTAGGTCTGGTACGTCTTCATGAACTTGGAATTCCTCAGTTACGGGATATTGGAAGGTCTGGGTACCCAAAGCTCCCTAAACCCCAAACCCCAAACCCTAAACCCTAAACCCCAAACCCCAAACCCTAAACCCTAAACCCTAAACCCTAAACCCTAAACCAAACACCCTAAACCCTATACCCTAAA